CAGTGTTATGGAGATACTGTTTGTGGCTTCACAGTTCAGCTAAGGCTGAGCTGAATTTTTATTTAAGGAAGAGTTCACCTTTGTTACATATGGAGAATGCATTAGATTCTTCCTATGCTTACATCAAGTGTAGAATGAAATTTTTGAGAATTGATTAGTTTGAGTTAAAATGTAATCATTTGTTCTTTTAGTGTCAGTTGTCAGACCTCTCTTAGTCTATCCTCATCTCAGTAGTGGAATAACAGGACTAGATCACAAAGGGATGTTGCTACCTAACTTCCACTTTTGGCTGCTGGATTCAAAATTTAAATCCTCAAAGCCTGATGTCTAACCTTTGCCTGAAGGTCCTCATCCAGTAGGTATTCTGAGTGCCAACTACCACAGAGGGACTGGAACAGAACATGCCTTGAGGAAATTGTGCTCCTTTTATCCAATAGTTGAGCCGTTACAGCGCTCACCAGGATGTATGAGACTTGAGCTCAGTTTCAGATTCAAGTTCAGTTTCCCCTTCTGGCTGAGGAGATTTGAACCCTATCTTCTATCACCATAACCAGGAGAGTGCCATAACCACTATTTCATAGGGCATTGGAGGCCAAGTTTTTCAGCAGGTGTGCCACAAATGACCCCTGAACCTTCCCTGAGTGCTACTCCGATCCCTTTCCCTTGCCTGATCTGCTCTTTTGCTTTCTGCTCCATGCCCTATCTGCCACTGTGCTCCCTGCCCTCTCCCCAGTCTGCTGTGTGCCACTTGTGGCATCTGTGCTACAGGTTGACCATCCTTACTATTGGGCAGTTCGGGGTGGAATGCTCTCAATTTTTACTGTTCCAGCAGTTCCACTTTGCATAACACAATTAAATATGCATTGGGCCAGAGATAGGAAGAGTATAACCCTATGCTTTGGTGGTTAGGGGATTCATCTGGGAGAGTACAGACCTGTAGTTCAGTCTCTGCTCTGATGAATATTTTAAGCAATTTTTTATTAAGTATTAATTGGAGAAGGAACAGAAGTTTGGTCTTCCCTCTCCCTTTTCAGATGTATACACTGACTACCAGGTTGTAGCATCATGTTGCTTCAATCTCCATCTTTCTAGAAATATAAATTTCCAATTAATAGTTAATGTTTCCAACCTTAATCCAAACAAATTCTGAATTAACATTAATTTAAAAAGAAATGCAAATCTGTTAAGGCATGGAATATGCATATAAGGTACCTAAAGGAACTTATCTCTGCCCAGTATTGGCACTGAGGGGAGACATTTGAAGAAAAAAGAAGTCCTTTTAAATAAGTGTAAGTTGGAACTAGAAGCACTAATATGCAAAAGTAATAATCATACAGTGGAACAGTTTTCAGTACAGGTATTTGTGCAGAATATTTAAAGCAGAAGGTTCTGATGGATTGTTGCAGGTTGTTGTACCCCTTTGAAGTAGTGCAGCAGAAATAGAGGCATTTGGCACATCTTTTAAGCATACCTGACATCAAGCAACGTAAGCAAGCATTTCTTTGATAACTCCACCTTAAGAAATGGAGAAGCCAAACTGGAGGCACACTTTATAGTCCAAAAATGACTGAAGCTTGAAGGATAAAACTTATAAGATTTGAAAAAGTGAGCCCAGGATAGGTATAACTGGCATCAGTTGAATTATTTGCCTTATACACCCAGTTACATTGGAAGAAAAAATTATTGTGTTGTTTTTTGTCACTATAGGGCAGAGTTTATATTGGCCAAGGAATGTCTCTGTGCATGTGTGCAACATGCTTTGGTTTCTTATATGTTAATTCAGAATTTTTTGTTGGGGTAAATCAAAATGCCAGTTATATTTTCTAACGTTGTTACTGCTAAATACTCTCACCTTTATCTTTGTCTTAGAGTAGTTTGTCTGGAAATCTTAAAAAGGAAAGCTCAGATTAAATATAAACCATATCATTATACAATTCAAGTTAAAATGCACTGTTTTTGTGATCTTTAATAACTTTTTTCTCTCTTATTTTGTTTTTCTTGAAGAAAAAATAAAGAATATCCATTGGAAAATTTTCCGCCAACTAAATCTGAGAGAGAGATATCTGCGGCGGGCAAACCAACCTCTATAAGCTGTATTCAGGTATGTATAACCACATGAGAGACATGGTGTTGTCCCAAATATTCAGGAAGGAAGAACAAATGCAAATGATATTGTTTAATTAGGCTGGGACTTAACTCCTTTGGAAACTTCCATATTGTAGGTCAATTATTCTTCCTTATTTTTTCCTGGTAAAGAGCTCCTCCAGACCTGGTCCCAGCCTGTTGCTAGCACCCATGCCCCTCCTCTGATTAATTATAAGGAACTAGAAAAAGGGAATGTTCTCTGTGCTTTACCAGACATTAGGAGTCCAAAGTCCATTCTGCAGATATTTGAGAAGACATTTCCTATAAATATGCTTCCAGTTTTGAACTCCCAATTGAACAAATCCCTATGCTGGACTCCTGTGAAATAGAAAATGGTGTTTTTTAGGATGAATTCCAAGTCGTTTTATCAAAACAATTTCTGAAACTTGTAAGTCTAGAACCTGGGTTCTCAACCATTTTAGACTCAAGGCATAGCTCATTAGACTCAAGGCATCCCTCAGATATCACTCTTTTCTTGACTATAGAAAAATAATAGGGCAGTTCTTCTTTTGCAAAGTACTTAGGAAGACCACAGCAGATTGCAGAATGTTTTTGACATTCTGGATTCCTGCTTGAAATATCTGGGTTTATCTTGTGAATCATGTGCAGATAATTGCATACCTAACAGTGCTAATCTCATGGCACCCCATGATGCCATTGCATCCTGATTGAGAATCACTGGTTTAGAGTAACAGGAAATGGTTACCAATTTGTTGTTGTTGTTGTCCTGCCCTGTCCAGAAAGGCTCAGGGCAGTTTACAATAAAAGACAACCCATAAGATAAGAAACAACAATAGATTTCACAAACAACACCCTACATTTTTTTAAATGTCACCCACCCACTCCCTCTTTTCTGCTTATCACACATGAGAGCAAGGCCTCTGGCCTATCCCAATTGCACTTCCCAACTCCTGTTCACACCTAGGTATAGTAAACCTCTTTCTTTTCCCCTGTTTCCATACCCTCCTACTCCTACCTCACATCCATGGGAGATCTCTTAATTGTTATTTCTTTTTCTGCCAATTCAGGGATGATGACCCCACTGTGTTAGTTTCATGGGATACTTATAATAGTTTAGGAGTCATTGGGTGCATCTACATGAGACACTTTACAGAATAGCAGGCTAATTTGCATTTCAGTAAAGCGTCACCATCTATATATGTGTGGCAATTAGGGCACAGTAGACTAATTTATTGTGCTGCTGGATAGTCCTGTCAGATACAAGTGGTATCCAGCAGCTCAATAAATTACTATTCTTAAATGCATGTGTAGACAGTGATGTCAGTATTAGTTTACTCTGACTCAGATAGAGCTGGAATGTATTCAGTCTCATTAATTGCATGTGTAGTTGTGCCCACTGTGATTGAAGAAAAGCACTATAGTTAGAATTATTAACATCACCATTTTAATATCAAAGAAAGAGAAGAGAAAATTTAAAATAAACAGCAATCATAATACTCACAGTAAACAATGATTGCTTCAGATAGCAGTCTTTTTCTGTATGTTTAACAATCTGCAGAGATCACAACTCAGCAGTAGGTCTGCTGTGATGAGGAAATATTGCTTGCTAGATAAGATAAAACTAAAGTACATTCTCCAAATCAGTGATGATTTCCTGTCTCAGTATATTATAGATTACTTTGTCATCTCTTGACTTCTTGTTATTTTAAGGTTGGTGAATCATGCTTGATTTATCATGGAAAATAAAATAGTTTATAAATGAGCTAAGTAGAATAATCTTAACTAAGCGTTATGAAACCACAGCCATTCAAAGAGTAGTCTTCAGACAGGCAAATTGATGAAGTCTAACACATGGAGGCACGTCCACACATGGAGGCACATGCGCTTGCAGCGACTCAAACAGGAGTGGCACAAATTTGTGCCAGAGATTTTTGCCTCAGCTCACATGCCTGAACATGCACTTTGGTGTGGGGCAAGTTGTACTACTTGAGGCAAACTCACTCTGCCCAGCTCCTCCTGGATCTTCAGCCAGGGGGAGCTAGAGGCTGGGGCCAGCAATATAAAAACCTGCCCACTGCATTGTAGCTCTGAGAAGTGCCAGCCCTTGCTGTTTTGTTCCCTGACCCATGCTGTTCCTGGGAATCTCTCAACTGGGGTCAGAGACTGAGCTGAGCCCTTTCCTCTAGAGGGGCAGGGGGTTCTAAGCCTGGCTCTGGAGGCCTCTCCTACCCGGAGCGCTCCCCCTCCCCTGACCTCCATCTCTCTCTGATATACCGCTTCAGCCACCTGCACCCCTCCCCCCGGCCCATCACACCTCCCAAGTGGTTCCTGGGACCAGGAGCCCCTCCAGGCTGGGGCCAAATGTCCCAGCATTGGTGTGGGCATGGGGCAGGGCTGCAGTGTGGCAGTTGCCCCTGCAGCCACAGCTCTCGCCAGCAGATCCCATCCCATCCCATCCCATCCCATCCCATGTGGCTGGCTGGGCACACAGCATGTAAGATTTATGGTGTAGATGTGGGGTTTGGGGGGGAAGGGGTGTGGGAGGATTGGAGGGTTTGCGGGTGGGTGGAGGGTTTGTGGGGGTGAGGTTTGGGAGGGTATGGGGCTTGTGCGGGTGTTTGGAGTTTATGGCTGGGTATTTGGGTGAGGGGGTGGTGGGGGTATTTTGGGGGTTGGGGGGCTGCTCAGGAGGGGTGAGTCCCTTGCCCCCTGAATGGTGCAGCCCCCACCATACGGCTCACTGACAGCCCTCCCTGCATGGTGCACAGCCCCTCCACAGGGCACACAGGCCCCCCTACAGCAGCAGCAGCAGCCATCAGGGTGCTTAGGGCCCTCCTGGTACAGTCCTTCCCATGGCATGGGGCAGCGTGGCTCAACCCCAGGTGCCTGGCACCCAGCACTGCCCTTGCCACATTGCATGGGCCCAGCCTGGCATGGGGCTGTGCGCCTTCAGGCAGAACCAGACTGCTTTGGCTGTCACCTGGGGGCCCGGCAAATCTTGCAAGGACTGTGCATTGCACTGGGCCAGGTCTTGCCTGTACAGGCCCTGCACGCTGTTGGAAGTCAGGAAGAAACACAAAATACTGTATTAGACAGACTGTGTTTAGGGCATCTTTTCTAGCCCCTTCCCCATGTGGGGTGAGCAGAGCAGGTCTTTAAGAGGGCTGTTCACTCACAGTTACACTTGCTGACTTGCATTGCTTCTAATGGCAAATATCTGATCAGAGCTAAGGTATTTCCACGTAGCACTGTTATACTATATATCTTGAGCTGATTTCCATTGAAAGGGAAAAAGGTAAACAAGTTAGCAAAGCCCCAATTACATATTTTCATGTACTGGTTGTGTAGTCTAGCTATGATTTAAAAAATGCCGTGCTAGTAGACACACTCCTTGCAATCCATAAATCTGTGGGAAATCTTTTTACAGGGGATGGAGAACAGTTGGCATGTGGCCTCGCTGACAAATCTTTACTGGTATTCAATTCCAACCTGACTGGAACACCATCTGTTTTTTCAGGTACATTTTTGGTAATTATAGTTTATATGGAATAACATATAGTTCTGAGTTTAATGTAAAATGGTGAATTAACTAAAAGATTCCTTTCTTGTCACTATATGAATAGTGAAAACAAAATGTTGCTGCTGATTCAGGATGTAATAAAATTGGTATGTCTAATTAGATATTATTATTTGAGACCTAAGCTGGCTTCTGTTATTTTTTCCAAAGAACCTCAAATCTCTGGAAGGTAAACAGTAGAAATATACTTGGCAAACTGGCCCAAAAGTTTAATATGATGATTCAGATATTAATGGACTGGTATATACCAAAGCAGGGTCAGGGTATTACATATTATATGCATTTTATATTATTACATATTATCTGTATTACACACACACACTTAATTTTATATACTGGAAACGAGCTATTTTGGGGTTGAAGCCTACAGGTTTGTAGGATAGAGGTTGAACATTGCAAAAAAATAGTGAACTTCATGATCTGTGGCATTCCATGTAGCTGGATTAGTATTTTGCTTTGGAACTGTATAATGGAAGCTGATCTAGCCACTTAAAATATATTTTATCAGATCTAAGAAACTATTTGTTAGAATGCTAGAAAATAATTTTTAGATAAAAATCTAAAAAATGTTAGATGGCCTTAATATAAGAAGTCTTTTAAAGTCTCTTAAAATAAAAATAATCAAACTGGTTGGATTAAAAAGTATGAAATGCCTCCCTGGATATTACATATGTTTAGTTATAAAAAGAATCTAAACTCTACATACACTGTTCCTCTTTGGTTATTTTCAGATTAAAAAAAAAAAAAAAGAATATGTTTTGGTGGGATGTTTGTGTCTGAAGGCTTTTCAGCAATTGATTTTGCTTGTGTTTCCACTTTTGGGTAATGAGAAGATTATTATAGCTCATAAGTATATAATTTCATTAAAACATTTATTATGTTCTATAATATGCAGTTATCTGGAATAAAAGGTCAAAATGTTTTCTTTTACGGCTATAGGCTGTATGTAGTAATCTCTGGTGGAATGGGAACAGAACCCTGATTAGGGTTGCTGCTAGAGTTTCATTTTCAAAAGTAAGTTTGGTGTGGGTGATGTGTAGAGGGTGACATTACCACCGGTGCCTGTGGTCGGTTGCCGCTTGCTAGCCACCCCCCTCACTGCTCACACCGCCAGCAGTATCTGCAGGCTGTCTGCGATTGCCGGCGGTATCTCTGGGTGGTTGCCAACCCCCGGTCGATGCTTGCCACTCTGTCCCCCCATCCCCCTCCCCGACTGCTGCCACAGCCGCCTGCAGGAGCTCGCTGTGCCCCGCATGGGTGGCAGGAATTTGGTGGGTATGGTTTTAAGCACAAAGCATTTATAGTGTATACAAGTTACTTGTCCTCACTTTTAAAGTACTTGCTGGCTTAACTCTGTCATTAAGGTAATGGAACATATATACTGTATTGTTGATAGCTGTCTTCGCTTCATCAGCATTCTCAGTTTTCACTGCTGGCTGGTTAATTTCTTTCACAGATGTCTTTTTCACTTTTTAACTCATGTCAACATTACATATGACACCTCTTTGAAAAGATCTGAAGAGTCTTGTTCTACTTTAAATTCTTCTTTTAAAATTCATGATGCATACAGAATATTGCTATTTGATAATGGCTAGATGGATCAAGTTACATTGTGGGTATGTGGCCAGTCTTTACAAAAATATGCTCATATGATTGTAATCTCTTGCCTACCCCAACCCACAATTTTTATTCATCCCCACTTCTCATAATTCATGCAAATTGTAAGATCATTTGTGTGAGAACTGTTTCTTTAGTTCTTTCGGTAGCTTTTCTCTAAAATGGGACATGATATTATATTAGGGCATGGTTGGATCCAAGATTCACTGAAGGGTTGTATAGCCCACTGCCTGCCAGACCCCAAGGGGTGGGGGTGAGGTGTGACTGGGAGAAGGGGCTGGAAGGAAGAACCTGCGTGCTGCCACAACCATCCACAGCATAGCTTAGCTCCCCACCCAGCAGCTCCCTGCCACCTGTGGCTGGAGCAGGGCATTAGTGGCTCTGTGGTTCCTCCTTCCTGTGCTTTCTTCCAGCCAGAGAGGACACTTGTGGGGAAAGAGGGAGGCAGACAGGGAGCAGGTGCAGGAAGAAGAAAACCTGCTTGTGGCTGCTGCTGTCCCCTCAAGAGCCTGGTGTTGCCCCCAGGATTCCTTTTACCAGAGACCCCCAAAGATTAAGACGGCCCCTCGTCTGATTCGGTATCAAGTGAACTTTTAATGGTAACCCCTAAGCTTATTACAAGTTTTCTTCCTTGTAATACGACCTGGCAAGCAGTTCCTTCAGACATTACAACAGCGACCTTCAGTGGTACCAGCCTCAGATCCTCTGCTGGGTGTGTGGGATGTTAGTTTCTGGATTCCTTGTTACTCAAAGGAAGAAGTCCAAGATTTCTCCTGTCTCCTCAGGGTGGCAACATAAACACACACAATCTCTTTGTTTGTCCACTACTTTTGTAACTTTCTCATCTCAAACTATCCAATACTTAAATTTCTTACTTCAACTTTTTAGATAAGATACTCCAATCCTATTCTGTTTTTGGTTTCCTTTCCTTCTAGGGAAACTACTGTACCTGGTTAGCCCACCGTACCAATCACAGCACTCACTTTTCCCAGTGCCTTATAAGGCACTCTGTACAATTTAATTGCTTAGTTCTGGGAAGGCCTAAAGTTATGCTAAGAGCATGAGCATAACTCAGTTTGCCCATTACACCTGGCACCCCACACAGCTGCAGCCCAAAGCTGGAATGAGGCAGGAGTTGCTCTGAGACTCCCTCTGTACCTGGGACAGCCAGGGACAGTAGCAGCAGAAGGGGAGTGCAACCACAGTGCTGTACTAGCCTAGATCCACCCTTGGATTAGAGCAACTACAGACTGTGGTAGTAATACAGTATAAGATCAATACGTAAAATAAAGTGAACATAGCAGAGTTTATTTGGCATTGTAAGCACCAGATCTTTTGATTTTCTTCATTCATAAAGCTCTGTCTACACATCTCAGAAAATCCTATATTGATTTTCTTATAGCTTGTAATTACTGTGTTTGTTGTTTGACATGCCAGAGTAATATATTTACAGCTTCATTTTTGAATGTGTCAAAGACATATGGGTCTAAATCATGGCAATTTTGAATCTTGCAATTTTGTTTTTATGAAAAAAGCAACATCTAGTAAATAATTCAACTACAGAGAAAGCATCTGGACTTTGACTTGTTACAGAAAAGCACCTTTTTATAGCGCATAATCACAGAGGAGCTTTAAAATAAAAGCAGTTCTATTCCAACCCATTTTAAAAAACTCCAGTTAACTGAAGTTCTTGGTTTAAATGAAGGTTGGTTTGTCACCTGATGGTTGTACTGCATTCCACTTCAGAGTTGGTTTTCAAGGTGCCATGCCTGTTGTGAAATGAAGAGTGCTGCCTAGGTTTCAAAGGGTTACAGCTAGCATGGAAGCCAGTCATTCTACAAAGCTAGCCATCGTTTCATTTGAAGTACTCCAGGATTCGGGAACCCTGAGTGAAAAATCTTTTGAAGCCAGCTGGCCTCTTGCAAGTCAGCTGGCCTCCTCTTCATTGTGCTCTGGGATTGGGGGACCTGGAGTGCAAAAAGTTTAAGCTTCCTGAATGGGTTCTCCAATTTTCCAAGCCTCATATTTTCCTAAGCTTTCTCACGTTCCTTGCCATTTTGGAAAGCTGGTCTTGTATTGTACTGGTAAGTAAGTTTTACTTTTTGCACAGAGGTAATCTAAACGAATTTATAAACTTTTATATAGATAAAAGGTATTGTTTTTCAAATTTGAGATAAGTCGTGGCTATGAAATTTCACCTGTAAGAACATGATCTTTTTGCATGTGAGGGTTAGCTCCTGAAAATAGGGTTTTATAATAGAAGTGCCTTCTCAATCACGATTATAGTGTTGTTATATTTTATTATTTGTGTAGCACTTAAGCATAGTACTGTCTAAGATGATAGGAACCCCTATCCTGAGAAGTGTATAGACAAAATACAATAATTATAAACTATTTTTTATTTCTGCTGCTGGAAAAACCCAAGTTACATTTTTTTTATGCTGCAGCAGTACAGTATCATAAGGGAGTCAGTTTAAACCTTTATAAATATATGTCATGCAAACTACAGCTGACCAAGTAAACTACAAAAATGTGCACAAGAGGGCAGCATAAGAACTCGAAATATTATATATTAAATGAAAATCATCAGGTTTCCTGGGAAAACTAGGAGATAAAAAATGATTGGCTTCTACCTAGTTTTTTTTCATTTGAATTTGTACATAGTTAATAGTGTGATAAATCAGAAAATAAGTAAATTGATTGATCTGTTTCTGTACAGTATGTTTGTTCTTTGCAGTACTGTATTTAGAGTAGCTAACTTTTTTTTTTTTCTCATTTTAGTAGCTTGATTCTCCCATAAATTGTAGGCTGTTGACAGGAGCTATAACCATCAAATTAGTTTGCAGCTATTTAAAAAATCTACAAAGAGATAGTCGTTATGTAGACATGGAGGCCAGGTACAGAAGTTACACTTATTGTGCAGTAGGTACACAGAAAGTGCTCTACAGCTGTAACTGAACAAACGGTCAGTACATGTAGAGCTCTGTAAAAATGGTGGATCCTGATTTAACATAACCCTAGATGGATGTGGTATCACTTCAGTGCTGTAGGTTAGAGCACTGTAATGCACATCTGTACCACATCTCATCCTGACTCACAGTAGGTCACATTCCACCAACATCCCATGGAGCATTGTGGCACCCTGCTTACCTCCCCCCGCCTCCTTGTGGGGCAGTAGTCTAGTGTAGGCCAGAACTTATCTCCTCTGCCCGAGTGCTGGGCTGGCACTGTCCTTGGACTGCCACTGATAAAAGTGAGTGAAGCCTCTGTGCCCAGGTCTGCCTGTGTCTTCCCTCTGGGTAGCATAGATCCAGCCATGCAAA